CAGCGAGGGAGGGGGGGAAGGAGGAGAAGGAGGAGGAGGAGGAGAAGGAGGAGAAGGAGGAGGAGGAGGAGAGGGACTAGGAGGAGGATGATGAGGAGAGGAGGAGGCGGAGGAGGATGATGAGAGGTTGTTCAACAGCGGGCGCGGGCGGCGCTAGCGCGCGGAGGGGGGGGGGGGGAGGAGGATGAGGGGAGTAGGGAGGAGGATGGGATGAGGAGGAGGAGGAGGAGGAGGAGGAGGAGGAGCAGGGAGAGCATAGCAAGGCGACTCGGGCACATGCCCGACAGAAGGGAAAAGAGCCCGAGCACCTCCCCAACCTGGGGAGCGCCAGCAGGCGCGGCCAGGAGGCCTACGCGCCGCCGGCGGCATCGTCCTCAGCGATCAGGTCACCGACCAGGGCGTCAAGGACGAAAACCGCGAACGGCCGTGGCCCCCCCTGGCCGCTGGCCATGGGCAGAGGCAGGCCAGCGCGGGGATGCGACCCTGCCCACGGGCGCCCCAAGCGGAGCTGCGTCCGCGGGGGGAACAGACCCCAAGCAGGGCTGCGCGAGGAGCTGGGCGCTCTCACTCGAGCGCGCCCCGCACCTCGCGCAGAACAGGAAGGAGCCCACGCTCCAGACGCGGTGGCCGCCGCCTGGGCTGCACACCGCTGGCGAGACGGCCCCGCGCGCCCTGGCGACGCGGCAGCAGCGGCCGCATCGGAAGCCCTTGCCACACGGCACGGGCTCGCGCGCGCCCTCAGGCAGCACCGCGTCCGACGTTAGCACGGGGGCGCGCCCCCGCTGCTGCGCGCGCCGCAGGTGGCCACGTCGCAGCGCACCCTGCTGGCTCGGGCCCGCTGAACGCAGCACCCGAGCCAAGAACCCGGCGACGAACGTCACCAGGCGAACGGAGCGCTGCACGCGCTCCACCGCCACCTGGTCAGGCGGGGCGGAGGGCGGCGCCCTCGCGAGCGCCGAGGTCGGCAGAGTGATTGCCCCAGCGCCTGACCATGCCCCGCGCGACCGCGTCGTCGCGCCAGCGGCGGGCGCGGCCCTTGACCTCGATCACGGAAGCCCCGCCCCCGAGCTCGCCCACCCGATCCCAGATGCGCGACCGCAGGTCTGCAGCCTCGCACTGCGCTCCTGTCGTCTCAGCACGCCCACGCGCAAAGCTCGAGACGGCCCAGGCCCAATCCTAGTGGAAGCGAAGGGGCCCCAAGGCCGCGCGCGCCAGGTACACGAGTAGGGCGAAGGCCTCAGCGAGGTCCGACGCCCGGCGCGGCCCAGGGAGCAGGCCGCACAGGGAAGCCACCAAGCAGCCATTGGCATCCACCTGGGCCACGGACCGGCCCGCTCGACTGGGTCGAGGGTCGCCCTGCACGGGCGAGGCGCAGGAGCCGCCGCCGAAGGCCCCGCCCTCGAGGCAACCAGTCACCAGGTCGCTTGAGCCACTTGACGAGGAGGGAGGGCGCGGGGCTAGGGACAGAGGGCCGGGGATCGGGGACCAGGGCGCGCCTCCAGAGGGCCCAGGCCGAGTGCGCCTCAAGGTCGGCCCTCAAAGAGGGGGAGAGGTCATACTCTCGAACAAAGGCCCAAGTCGTAGAGCAGGCGCCTGTGACCCATGCCGAGAAAGTGCCTGGGCAAGACCCGATGCAACACAAGGGACAGGTCAGGCTAGCCACAAGATCACGTCGATACTTCCGAGCCTGATCCCTAATCCCATTCGAAACGATCGCACGGAGGGTCACCTGATGTCTCGGGACCCAGTCGGGGCCAAGCGCCCCCTTGCAAAGACGGCGGAGAGGAGCAAGGTGTGGACGAGCTGGGAGAGCGGCCATGCATTATGTGCTCTGCTGGGCTCGATCCAAAAGCCAGTCCTCGGTGCTCGGGCGCGCGAGGTGCACCATCGAGCGAGGGCAGGCGGTGGCGAGATCAACCTTAACGCCCTCGCTGATTACTAGCATGCACACCCCAGGGCCAGGCGTTCAACCAATGCCCTTACAACTAGCAAGGGCCGCATCAGCAGCAAACAAAAGTCGGGCCATCCACTCCCGAGAAATCCAAGACTCCCAAACAGCCTGGGCGAGCACATAAATCGGGCTCACTGTGCACACGTACGCGGGGTCGACCGACCTCGGCGCAGATGGAGCAAGGCGGAGGTCGAATGTGAGAGAACGACGAGCTGTACGAACGAAAAGAGCGGAGTGTGCTGCTCGTCGCATCGGTTCGATCCCACTCCAAGCCCCCCCAATCACCCCGTCCCCAAAAAAAACCAGCGGGCGCGCGCCCGAGCGATACAGGTTGCCGCGTTTCCCCGCGCGCGGCTCGCATCGCGCGAATGCGGGCTGATGGCCGCACCACCGTGGCCAAGCGCTTGGCCCTCGTGGCCGCGCCTGGCCGCCTGCCGCAAGCGCAGTGCATGCTTAGGTTCCGCGCCGACCTGCGGCTCTTGCCACGCAGCGCCGCGCAGCGCCGCGTGGGATCGCGGCTGCGCTCGGCGGAGTTGGCGAGCACCACGCCCTTGCCATCGTTGACCGCCAGGCCATCCTCCAGAAGCCCGCGGCGCAGCTGCGCGTTGGCGTGGCTCACCTGCGCGGCCACCCGCTTGGCCACGCCCGTCTGGGCTAGCTGGACGTCGTCGACTCACGACGCTGCCCACCTGCACTGTGCGGAGCGCGACTACGTCGTCGAGCCTCGGCAGCAAGAACAGCCCCATGCACGGGTCGGCGAAGCTGCATCCCGCCACCACGCCGCGCCGAGGCTCGCACGCCATCGCGGCCACGCCCCGGTAGCAAACGATGCGCGGCATCCCGCGCAGCTGGAGCAGCAGGCGCATCACGACCACGGTGAAGCCCTGCGCCTCGGCGCGTTCCACCAGCAACGCCCAGGGAATGTGCTCGCACGCCTTCGTTAGGTCCATGAGCACGGCGCAGGCAGCCAGGCCGCGGTGGGACGCCACCTCCGCGGTCGCCGCATGGAGCCACACGCAGGTCTCGCAGCTCTGGCCAGCAGTGCCGTAGAAGTAGCCACGGTGGTGATGCGAGGCCAATTGGGCCCCTGCGGTGTTCCTGGTCCATCTCGCGAACGGCCGCAAGACTCCTGGGAAGAGCCCGACGGCGCGCGCGCCGCCCCCAGGCTTGGGCAGCAGTACCATCTGCATCGCAGCCGGAGCCCGTGGCACGCGCCCCAGCTGCAGCATCCGACGCCAGAGCTCGACGCAGGCCTCCAGCGCAGCGTCGCTCAGCACTGTCATGCGCCGCGGGAGGGAGGCACTGCAGCCCAGGCCTGTAATGTGAGAAAAAAGCGTGGCCTACCTGGTGGAGCTCATCCACGGTGGGCAGGGTAGGCAGTGCCCCAAGCTCCGCAGGCCAGGCCACAGCCCCACGCCCAGCTCCCTGGCCCCAGAGCGCGCGCCACGGCCGCGCAGCCTCCTCAGCGACCAGCCGCGCGGACTGCAGCCCAATGGCAGGCTGCCAGCGGTCCGCAGCCCACGGCGCCGCCTCGCGCATCTAGCGGAACTCCTGCGCCATGGCCGCGAACCTGGCCTGGAGCTCCTCTCGGCGCCGCTGCGCTTCCCGGCGGTCGCTCTCGCCCACCTCGTAGTCATCCAGCGCCTCCAGGCCGAACAGGCCTTCGTCATCCAGCGCCCCCTCGAGGATCGCCGAAACGCTGAGCTTCGGGACCGCGGCGGCCTCGGGGTCCTTGGCGGGCGCCACCGTGACGGCCAAGGCCTGCACGGCGCTGGTGCACACCGCACTCGCGCCCTCCAGCGCGGCCGTGCACTTGGCGACGTGCTCCGCGGCGTGGGCGAGGCGTCGCTAGAGCTCGTCCGCATCGGCCAGGGCGGCGTCCAGGGCAGTGGCCGCGGCGTCGCGCGCGGCGCCTGCACCGGCCACGGACAGGGGCTTCGCCAAGCGCTGGGCCCTGAGCGCGTCCAGCTGCCTCCTGTACTTGGCCTCCCCTGGCTCATCTCCCGAGAGGCGCAGGAGCTCCACCAGCTGCACGAGCTTGGCCTCCTCGGGATCCTCGTCAGCCTTCAGGACCTGCGCGGCGCCAGAAGCGCGCACGCCCAGGCGGCCACTTCGCGGGCGCCCGCTTGCGTTCCACGCGCGGTGGCCGCCAGCGCGTGCGGCCAAGCCTGAGGCATCGTCACCGGCGGGGCGTCCGCGCTACGCACCTGCTCCGCCATCGCCTGTCTCTGCCCCCTGGCGCCCGGGCGGCTCGTGGGCCCCGCGACCGGCTGGGAGCCTGCAGCGGCCGCCAGCGCCGCCAGCAGTAGGAGCGCCAGCGGGCACCAGCCGCAGCGGCCTCTTGCAGTGGCAGCACCACGTCCACCAGGCGTCATTCTTGCGGCAGCCGCAGTGCTCGCACGCGTGGGCACGGGCGCTGGTGCCGCCTGCGGCTGCCAAGCCGCCGCCGCCACCGCCTTGGCGCGCAGGGGGCGGCGCCGCCGAGCCGTGGTAGCCGTCCACGAGCGCCGCGGCGGCCGCAGGAGGAGGAGGAGGAGGAGGAGGAGGAGGAGGAGGAGGAGGAGGAGCGGCACCAGCAGGAGCAAGGGTAAGATGAGCGGGAAGAGCAGGAGGACCAGGGGAAGGCGACAGAGGGGAAAGGAGGGGGCGGCGACGACGAGGTAGGAATCTGATCCAGAACTGGAGCAGGCGCTCACGCCAGAGCGCCATAGTGAACAGCAGGAAGCGAAGCGCCGATCCTCAGCGGCGGCCCAGCGCCGCAGCGAGCGCAAGATGTTTGAAAAACCGAAAGCGGTCCGATCGAAACAGCACGGACAGCTCCTCCTCCTCCTCCTCCTCCTCCTCCTCCTCCTCTCTCCTCCTCCTCCTCCTCCTCCTCCTCCTCCTCCTCTTCCTCTTCCTCCTCCTCCTCCTCCTCCTCCTCCTCCACATCCTGCACGTGTGGAAACAAGACGAGGGAGAGCCGGCAGCTCCAGACATGCTCAGGGTGCAGGGGACAGCCGTGCTCATATCGAGTAACTGCGGAGAGGAAGCGCAGATGAGGACACGCCTGCAGCTCGTGGACCGCCATGCGGTGCGTCACCACCACACACTTGGAGGCGCTGGTGGTGCCACCTGTGTACAAAAGGTACCTCCCCTCCCGTCGCCCCCATGAAGCCCAGACCGACAGTAGCGGGAGCGCACGGAGGCGGCAGAGGAGGAGGGGAAGAAGAAGCATCCGTATGAGCAGAGCATGGGCCTGAGCTTGAGCACGAGCATGAATCACCCACATGATAATGAGTCTGCGTGCGGTACTTATTCGTCGCAACATGCACATGTGGCGATGTTGGCCCTGTTAGCTCGCGCGCGTGCCGTTCACCTCACGAGCCAAGTGAAAAGGGGCAACGAAGTAGATCCGCAGCCCCGATCGTGAGGGGTGACGACCGATGCTGCACTACTCAGCGCTGTAGCGCCCAGGCCGAAGCAGCAACTCAGAAGCACAGTCGAAACGCATCACCAGCTGGGACGGACGCGACATCTGGTCATCGTCAAACACCGGAGGGAGGAAAGGGCGGAGCAAGGAAGGGGAACAAGAGAGGGGGGAGGTAGAGCGTCGAGGGGGGAGGGGAAGGAGGAATAATAATGAAAACACGGTGCCAAGGCGGGTATACTCAAGCGTTGCGTGCATCCCCAGATGACCCGACCCATCATTCACTAATCGGGCATTTACGTCATAAACAAGACGGCAGTACTCCCCTTCCTCCAACTCCTCCTCCTCATCCTCATCCTCCTCCTCCTCCTCCTCTTCATCCTCCTCCTCCTCGTCATCATCATCATCAGCAGCAGCACCAGCATCAGCATCAGCATCAGCATCAGCATCAGCATCAGCATCAGCATCAGCAGCATTATCAACATCATCACCACCACCATCATCATCATCATCACCATCATCACCATCATAATCATCATCATCATCACCATCATCACCATCATCATCATCACCATCATCGTCATCTTCATCCATCCTCATTCCTCATGGCCCTGCCCTCCTCCCTCCTATCTCCACATCCCCCTCCTCTATCCTCCTCCCGCCTCCTCCTTCCGCTCCCTCGCTCTCCCTCCCTTCCGCCTCCTCGCTCCCTACCTACCGCATGTCCCCCCCCCACAAAGGATCGTCGGGGCTCCGACAGCCGCGGGCGGGAAGTGGCGGCCGGGGCCCAGGGTAGCACAGCAGCGACGCTGCGTCTATCACCTGCGGGCGCCGCTGGGGGGGGTCGTCGTCGTGGTCGTCCTTGACGTCGTCGTCCTGTCCGTCGTCGTCATCGTCGTCGTCCTGCCCGTCGTCGTCACTTCCGTCGTCGTCGTCCTCTCGGCCGTCGTCGTCTGCATCACAGCAGCGTCGCTGTAGTCATCCTCGCCCTTTTCCTCGTTATCGTCGGCACTGTCGTCTTCCATCTCTCCAGCCTCCCCCGCCTGGCAGCGGGCAGGAGAAGGGAAGTAGGGGCAATAAGGAGGAGCAGGAGGAAGAGGGCGACCAAAGTAAACAATGTGCGAGGCGAAACGCTAAAGCGGGAGCCTCATTCGGTAAACGACTGGCCCTCCATCAACGTCCGTCTTGCAAACTGCTTGTAACGAGCGCGTGCAACGCTAAGGCGAGAGCCCCACTTTCAAAACGACCGTCCCTCCACCTGTTTATAACAATTGCCAACTTTCAACCTCAAGATCGCAAATTGCAAAGATGCCTCCAGCGAAACGCCCAGCCTGGCTCACGTGCACGTCTGGCGATGCGACAGGAGAGAGTCACTCCTGAGAAAAATTGACAGGCACTGAGAATGAAGCCGTGGGGCCATGGAGAACGGAGAAGCGAAACCCGCGCGAGAGGACTGCCTCACAAAGAGTACTGCCTCATCGCAAAACGGGCCGCCCTCCGCCCCCACACGGGGAGACCACCCTCCTCACGTGCAGGGGAGGCCGCTCGCTCATCGGTGAGGAGCTCACGCAACACGGTCGAGGTACAGGGCAGCGCCCTTGTTGCCCCGCGACCCGCTACTCGTACCTGATGGTGGCGGTGCGTAAGGGGACGGCCGGTTTGCCTCCTCGCTGCGAGATCCTTCCCGACGATCAACCCAAAACGTATGACACGTGCAAGTGGGTTGGCACCCCAGGGCGAGCAGGCACGAAGGCCCCATGGGACTCATGGACCACACGGCCCCGCCACTCCTCCAAATGCACGACCCCCGCGCCTGGAAGCTCAAGGTGGCTCCAGCGTCACGGGCATAGCTGAGCGCCACGACCCTGGGCAAGGTGCCCCGGAGCGAAACCAAAAAAGACAAGCCGGCATGCTGACACGAAGCCGCGAAGCGCACATGGCATTGTCCATGCCCCCGCGGCGTAGGGCCGAGCACCAGGATACGATACCCAGCAGAGCAGCAACTGCCCCCCCGCCGCGGGGGTACTGAGAATGAAGAGGAGGGGCGAGGAGGAGGAGGAGGAGGAGGAAGGAAAGTGGGCACCAGACGTGTCTTCTGGCCGGGCCAGGCGTTTCGCCGGAGGCTTCCTACCAACCCACGACAGCGAGCACAAGAAAACGGTCTTCAGCGGGGAGTTCTCGCCGTGGCGCCGCGCACACTCACCTCAGACAAAACGGCAGCTACACGGACGGAGCACAGGTGGTCTTGGAGCGCGGTTCTCGCCCTTGACGCCGCGCACGCTCGCCGCAGGAGAAATCCAACAACTCAACGGACGCAGGGCGGCCCATCTTGTAACGGGGGCCCTCGCTGGAGACTTCCTCGAGCTTCAAGGCAGCACGCCTGAAAAGTGCGCACGGAGGGCTCGTCCACTTCAGAACGGAACCCTCGCTGGACACTTCCTCGAACTTTCTGGCCCTGCCCCATTTGCCTATCGTCAACTCAGCAAGGTGGCAGGCGGACCGAAGGCTGGGTCGCGCGCGTCCCCCCTACATGCGGCCTTTGGGCGAAAATTCAAGAGTACTCGAACAATGCCCCCAAATAGTCGGAAACTGATCAAAAATAGTCCCCATCTTATGTTTAACTATTTTATTCCTCCTGGAGAGGGGCACGCCCGACTCAAAGGCGGATCATGCTTCTCGACATGGGGTCTCGCCGGACAGGCAGACCCAGGGGGCGGCTTCTCGGCCAGCGGGGGGCGCTTCCCGCAGAAGGCTGGCAGGGCGTCGGATGGGCACGCCCGGGTGCACTGCAGCATCGTCGACGCATCTTGAACTTGCTCTGGTCCTCCTTCTCCTCCTCCTACTCCTCCTCCCCCTCCCCCTCCCCCTCCTCCTCCTCCTCCTCCTCCTCCTCCTCCTCCTCCTCCTCCTCCTCCCCCTCCTCCTCCTCCTCCTCCTCCTCCTCCTCCTCCTCCTCCTCCTCCTCTCCTCCCCCTCCTCCTCTCCTCCTCCTCCTCCTCCTCCTCCTCCTCTCCTCCTCAGCCTCCTCCTCCTCCTCCTCCTCCTCCTCCCCTCCTCCCTCGTCCCTCCCTCCTTCTCACCCCCCTTCCCTGCCTCACAGGAGCTGACGATAGCGAATGGAATGAACTGCGATGCCGTCTCGGTAGAGAGAGCCGATCCTGAGTTGTGGGGCCTCCGGGGCGTCCCGGAGAGTAAACGGTGAGGGCTATCGAGCGGGAGCAGTCATCATCGCAGCTGGGCTGTGACACAATAAGATGAATTGCGAGGACATCTCGGGTGAGAGCAGCATTCCTGCATGAACTATGGCGCACGAATAAATTTCGAGGATGCACGTCGTGGATAGGTCGTCAGCAACTTGAGCGAATTGCGAGGAACTCTCGGGAGAGAGCACCGTTCCTGATTCAGGGGGCCTCTCTGGCCAGGGCGTCTCGGAGCAAATGTTGAAGAAGCATCAGGCGGGAGCCGTTGCCTTCGCAGTTAGGCCTTCACCAACTCTGGTGCACTGCGAGAAAGCTCGAGCGTGAGCGCGCCCCTGAGTTCGGGAGCCTCTCTGGCCAGGGGGCGTCTCGGGGTAGACTGCAAGGGAGCATCGAGCGGGAGCCGTTGTCGTCGTAGCTGGGGGTTCAACGATCGGGATTGGCAAACAGGCCCGCGCTTGAGCGGGAGCGTCGCTTTCATAGAGAAGGGAGCCGGCGTCGAGGCGAGAGCGCCTGGAATCGCTTCCATAGATCAACAGTAACTATGCTCTAGAAGCGAGTCTTCGACGAAGACGGCGACAACGCCAAAAACGACGATCGCGACGAACGCGACGACCGCGACGACCGCGACGACCGCGACCACCGCGACCGCTGCGACCACCGCGACCACCGCGACGATCGCGACTACTGACACGACCGCGACTGCTGACACGACCGCCACGACCGCGACCTCCGCAACGACCGCGACGGCCGCGACGACCGCCACGACCGCCACGACCGCCACGATTGCTCCGCGATCGCTCGGCGATCGCTCGGCGATCACGGCCGCGACGACGCGGCGGGGCGGGCGCGGCCGTGGCGCCCCGGGGCGCCTGCAGCTCGCCCGCGGCGGCCGCCTCGAGCGCCGCCGCCGCGCCCGGGCCGGCGCGCAGCGCCTCGTCGAGCACCAGCGCGCGCGGCCTCCGTCGGGGTCGCCGACGTCGCCGCCGTCGCCGCCGCCGCCGCCGCCAGCCGGGGTCGTCGTCGGCGTCGCCGCCGCCGCCGCCGTGGCCGCCGCCCTCGCCGCGGGGAGGCGGAGGAGGAGGGCGCCGTGGCCGACGTCGGCCCCTCCAGACCCGATTTCAGGCAGCCGTCGTCGTCGCCGTCGCCGTCGGCGTCGCCGCCGCCGCGGCCGCCGCCGTGGCCGCCAGGAGGATCGTGTTCCCACTGAGTTGCCTTCCGCGCGACGATGGCTACCTCACCCGCGGGCACCGCTTCGCACCACAGTGCTGCCGCTCCGCCGCGCCGCCGTGCAGGGGAGGAGCACATGGCCAGCGAAGAGCACTGCCCAAGCAGGAGGAGGAGGAGGAGGAGGAGGAGGAGGAGGCGGAGGCGGAGGCGGAGGCGGAGGAGAAGGAGGAGGAGGAGGAGAGCTGAGGAGGGAGGAGGCGGAGGAGGATGAGGAGTAGGAGGAGGGATGATGAGGACAAGGAGGAGGAAGGAGAGCTGAAGAGCGAGGAGGAGAGCTGAAGAGGGAGGAAGGAGGAAGGAGGAGGAGGAGGAGGAGGAGGAGGAGGAAAAGGAGGAGGAGGAGGAGGAGAGCTGAGGAGGGAAAAAACCAGACGTGGGCGTGCAGCTCGTGCCTGCGCCAGCCACCTCGCAGCTCCGCTGAGGTCGCCGCGCAGGAGACTGACGGGGACGCCACGGCCATCGTCGGCCCGACTAGGGCCCTTGGAGCCGTCAGGACTCGATCTGGGGTGCAGGGATGCCCGTGAGTCGGCGGCGAGCTGGGGGGGGAAGTGCGAAGGAGAAGGCCTCCTCAGAAGGCTGGGAGGCCCCCCGGCCTTCTGAGAAGCCCCGCCGCCTCCCGAGAGGGCCCTCTCCTTCTCACTTGCCCCCCTCGCTTGCCGCCGGAGGAGTGGGGGCTCTCCCGAGAGGAGGAAGGAGGCGGAGGAGTAGGGACGGAGGGGAGGAGGAAGGGAGGGAGGGGGAGGAGGAGGAGGAGGAGGAGAGGGAGGAGGAGGAGTGCCGGGTCCAGGCACTTTCTTGCTCAGCAGGTGCCGGGTCCAGGCACTTTCTTGCTCAGCAGGTTTCGGTCGCGCTTCGGCGGCATTTCGGAAGCCTTCGGCGGCCCCTCGGCGGGCCCCTCGGCAACGGCGCAGAGGGCGGTGGCGCCGCCGTCGACCCCGCCACCGCCGCCGCCGCCGCCACCGTCGGTGTCATGGACGCCGCCGCCGCCGCCGCCCTCTTTGTCGCCGCCAATGGCGTCGACTACTTCCTCTTCCCTCCTCGCAGTCCAGCTCCTGCCTCATTCCTCCGCCATCCCTCTTCCGTCGTGTTGCCCCCTCCTCGTCGCACGCAGGGCGGGCCAGGCGCTTCGCCTAAGACTTCCCCCCCACGAATCGCGAATGATCACAACACGCTTGAAAGTTCAAGCAGCTCCGAGGATGATGGAGAGCGGGTCGTTCGCAAAAGATTGCTCTCACCTCAGCGCTGCGCAGGCTCGCCTGAAACAGTCAACAGGTACACAGACGGACGCTGGATGGTTCAGCACGCGGCTCTCGCCTGAACGACGCGCACAGTCATGTTGGAAACGGCCTGTACAAGGATGGACGGCGGCCCTGTCTCCCTCTCAAGACCTCCGCCAGCCGATGCAAAAGTGCAACAAATACACAGATCGAGGGCGGCTCCTTTCCAGCCAGGACTCTCTACAGATGCCCGCCGGTGCAGAAGCGCAACGACTGTACACGAATCAAGGGCGGCTCCCCTTTCCGGCCATGTCCCTGAAATTCACGATCCTACCCATCTCGTAAGGCTCAAAAGGATGTTTGGGAAATTCCTTTTCAGAGCGGGGCCCTCGCCTGCATGGCAGGGCCACGAGGAGCTCGTCTCTCAAGGGGCGACTCCCGCAGCGGAGAAGAGTGCCTGCAAGGATTCGTGCGGAGGGGACTCAGCACGGTACAGCGTATTGCAGCATCGTTGGCGCATCCTGGGTGCACTGTCGTCCTCATCCTTCCTCCTCCCTCTCCCTCATCCCTCCCCCTCCTCCCTCCTCCCTCCTCCCATCCTCCTCCTCCTCCTCCTCCTCCTCCTCCTCCTCCTCCTCCTCCTCCTCCTCCTCCTCCTCCTCTCCCTCCTCCTCCTCCTCATCCCGCAATGGTGCCCTTTCTGTTGTGTATTACATGGGGGAAACTCGTTCCGGGGCGATGCGGCCCTGTCCGAGGACGGGGGTCGCCACAGGAGGCCGGCGACCAATACAGCATCGCCGCTCAGGGTCCTCCATTGCTGCTCGCGGCGCTCAGCAGAACGGCGGCGCAAGATCCAAGGGACGCCCGCACTCCACGAGCCCAACCCGATCCTCAGGAGCAGCAAGAGGAGAAGGCGGCGGGACCTCCCATCCTCCCCGCCCCCGACCCGACTGCTCGAAATTCGGCTACACGCAGGAGTGACCCTGGGTAAGAGTGACCTTTGGTGCGCGGCTTTTTGGGGGCCGCGGGGGAACCAATTCGGCGGCGCGCAAGCCGCTGCTCCTGCTTCGTTTTCAGCCATCTGAGATCTGGGGACGCATCTGTGCCCGCACCAAAGGTCACTCCGGCGAAAGGTCACTCTCACGTCTAGTCGAAAAATACGGGCCGATCGACCGACCCGGTCCGACCGTCCAAAACTACTCGCGGCCAGCAGACCCCGACCGCGCAACTCGGGACCCGCCCGCCAGCCCGCCCATGAAGCGCCGCCGGCCACCGCAGGGTGAAGTGACTGCTCCAAAGGAGGCATGATCGATGCATAGAGCGGACATCGAGAATTCGAAGCGCGCACGAGTTGAACTATTGGCACGCGAGCACGCGAGAGCGACCGCTCTCCAGGTGAATGTTGCTATATCTTAGCCCCCACCACTACTATCATTCTCATCGTCGCCACGCACCCCGCCTCGCGACCTGCTGGTGACTCTCCCGGCGGCCCTCCTGGCGACACTCCCTGCGACACTCCCTGCGACCCTCTTCGCGACCCGCTTCGCGACCCTCGGCTGACACGCTCGGGACACGCGCTCCCCAGGACCCGCCCCTGCCGTTACCCGCGCCCGCGGCAACCCGCGCCTGCCGCGACCCACTCAATGACCTGCCTCGCGACGCACCGACAACCGGCCATCAACCCACGCGCTACCCGCGTCACCTCACTCTTATCCGCGACCAAGGGAAAATTGCATATTGGTGTCTGCACTCCGTTGCGTCTGATAGGTACGTATGTTCAATGTCTCTTCTGCATGACTGCACGTAGCCTCTCACACATGCCTCAAACGTTGCTTTGGCCTGTTCCTGCCAGCTCGTGCCTGCCCAAGCTGTTGAATGAGCTGATTGCATGAGAGCGATCCGTTGCGTGTGGAACTTCATTCCAAAACACTTCGTCTGTGCTGGCACTGACTTATCTAACCCCCAAAGTGAAACTTATGCAATCGCCGCTCGGCGTGATCATATGTGATGTTCTGTCGGTCGTCTTCTATGCCAATGCCGTCGGTAGCATCATGGTCATTCGTGGATTTCCCATTACATGCTCAAGCCAAACCTTTTTTTCACTTCCGATTGCTTCGATGCGTCAGAGTGTGTGATTGTCCACACTGCATGCATGCTCTTGCTAGAGCATGCTATCAAGAAAATCGCATAGCAAACGTATGCTGGAGTTGGTTTGAGCAGAGGTCAGCAGAGACAAAACTTTGCAGAAACGAAAACATTCAACACACACTCTGGCATTAAGGGTTAACGAATCCCTGCAGCAGAGCGGCCTGGGTATCAGCACAACCTTTGCCAACGATACCCTGAAAATCTGCGTAAATCCGGTAGGTGCTTGTAAGCAGAATGAAGAAAACAGCGGCACCCAGGCCAGCATATAGGCCCAGAATGCCAGCGCTGCATTGGAAGCACAAGAAATATCCGAGAGGCACAGCCAACAGCCAATAACAAGCAATGCTCTGGATCACCCCAAATGCCTGTAGTTTCCGAACCACCAGCCATGACCGTAGTGTATTCAAAAGACAATCTGCTAGCTGCACTACCAAGATCACTGGTACTAAATGATAGATGTTGTCAGCCACTTTCGCGACACCACCACTGAAAGTCAGCGCATAAGACTGGCGAACTAGCAGCAGCAAAACGGCATACGCGGAAAGAGATACGAATCCAACGACGCAGCCGAGCTTCAACAGGGCGAGTCCACGACAGAAATCACGTGCACCAAGTGCCTCGCCAAGCAAGGCAGTTAGTGCCGGGTATACCCCCATGCCCATGCAAATCAGGAGGCTGTACGTCAAGGAGAGGATGCTGTACGTGGCGGCGGCGCCGGGCCCCAAGGCGGCTGCCTCGAAGACCTGCACCTCCCACGCCCACATCTCCGTGCAAGACCAGATCATTGCTTGCAGGGAAGTGCGCAACTGGACCCACAGTCCTCGGAACAGAAACGGCACAGGCTTCATCACAAACTTGTGGCCTTGAAGATGTAGCGATCCAAGCAGGAGAAGAGGCAGACTGGTGTTCTGAATTACCATTGCCAAAATGGGCCACTCGGTAGGGTCCTCTCGTGCTGTCCCGGTGCTGCTGCCCAAAGCGTTGATCACCAGATTCGCAGCGAAGCCGGCGAGGACGCAAGCGGTGACCATACGATGTTTCTGCTGGCTCTTCAACCAGCGAGCAAGAACATCATAGATGAGGTCGCCCGGAACAGACCAGGCCAGCAGATGCAGAACGCTGGCAACTCCCTGTGCCTTGTCGGCAGGTTGACCTACCAGAACGAGGAGGCCTGCGATATTATGCAGCATAAGCAAGAATATGGGTAAGAGCAAACATAATAGTACGCCTTGCCGGTACAAAACTAAATGCAACTCGACCGTATCTTTTGCACCAAATGCAATGGGGGCGTACGCGTCGATGCCCGTATTGAAACCCATGGCACTTGCAAAACACAATATATTGATAGTCATGCTGGCCAAGGAAACGCAGTCCATTGTAAAGGCCCTCTCCTCCTGGGTTAACGCAGACTTCGTCAAGTTTCTAGATACGAAAAAATTGAAGACCAATGGGCGCAAGAAGTCCACGGCGTTCTGCAGCATTCCTGCACCTGTCAAAACTAACATGTGACGAAGCTGTGGTATTGCGCTGGTTATGCTACATCTCTCCGCGATGCTCCTACCAGCCATCGTGCCAGACCCGAAGGATCACGTACAATATACACGTATCAAAGCAATCAGTTTCACAAATCAGCTCGGCTTGAGCCGAAGTGGCGACGCAAGGTGCGGCTTGAATACGTGTCGCTAAAAGTCGTCGTGCGAGTTCGTCTGTCACTGCCGCCTTGAAGCTCCCTGTCCATCATGTGTTATTGCTTCGTGCGGTTACTGCATAAATCAGCGTTGTGCTTGCATGACGTTCGCAAGACACCGTGCGGCTTACCGAACCAAAGCCACAACGTGCACGCATCTGTCCACAACCATGTGGCACGTGTTGTGTCGAATGGTATTAGGAGGAAAACGGAGGAGGAGGAGGAGGAGGACGCAGGACGCAGCATAGACAATCATAGACAATAAAGTCATGCGAGCACGAAACCACCTCTGAGCCAAAGGGCATATGGAAGCACGACTTAAGAGGTAAACGGTGCTGCGTGCGAGGTCAGACCACCATCACACGCCACAGAGACCCAACGAATTCAACTAAAGCTTAGCTCCAGTTGCTGGGTGCCGCCAGTCGACGAGCCAGTCCCTGGCTCTACAGCGAGCGGTGTTCGGGGGGCGCGGAGGAGGAGGGAGAGGGAGAGGAGGAGGAGGAGGAGGAGGAGGAGGAGGAGGAGGAGGAGGAGGAGGAGGAGGAGGGGGAGGGGGAGGAGGAGAGATAGGGAGGGAGGAGGAGGAGGCATGGGAGGAGGAGGAGGAGGAGGAGGGAGGAGGGAGGAGGGAGGAGGGAGAGGAGGAGGAGGAGAAGGAGGCGGAGGAGGAGAAAGTGGCTCTGGCTCCCCAAGGAAGGTTGCCCGAGGGGCTCTGCTCGTTTTTGAGCCACCGGTGGGCGTCAGGCCTGACCCGGCCGGCGTTCTCCTCAGGGTTCTACGGGTTCTCTGGGTTCTTCCAGGGGGCCGGCAGCCTCGTGTTCCCTTGCTGTTTTTTTGGGGGGGCAGCGCCCAGGAGTGAGAAGGAGTGCCAAGCGTTGCGGAGCCATGCAGAGCAACGCCAAGCAACGGCAAGCAATATCAAGCAATGCCCAGAAATGCCAGGCAGCGCAGAGCAGTGCGAAGCAATGCCGAGCTTTGCAAACCACGGCCAGGCAACGCCAAGACACGCCAAGCAACGCCGAGCAATGCAAAGCGATCCCAAGAAAATGCCACGCAATGCAAAGCAATGCCAAGCAATGCAAAGCAATGCACAATAATGCTAAGCAATGCAAAGCAGAGCGAAGCAATGCCAAGCTTTGCAAAGCAATGCCTAGCAACGACAAGCAATGGCAAGCAGTGCCTAGCAAAGCCAGGCAATGCCAAACAACGCCCAGAAAAACCAAGAAATGCGAAGCAAAAACAAGCAAAGCAAAGCAAACAATGCCGCGCAGTGCTAAGCAACACCAAGTGCCGCAAAACAACGCGAAGCAACGCAAAGCAAAGCAATGCAATGCCAAGGAAGAAAATGCCAAGGAAAGCCAAGCGGTGCCACGCAATGCCGCTTAGGAAGCGTTCCCCTACTTGGTGTCGCGCTGGGATCATTGGGAAAGTTGGCCTTATGAACACTCGTCATCCTGACCCCTGGCACGCGAGGAAATGAGACCGCGAATCGCGCCTCCTGACACCGCTGACGGGGAACGCGGGGGAGCGAACGCGAAGATACGAGTAATTCCAAACAGGCGGCTCGTGTGTAGTGTCCTCGCACAATCGGCCCCTGGACCACTTCGAAGAAAGCCCAGCGGAGGGGGGATGGAGGGGGGAGAACGAATGGAGGCGGATTCGGAGGGGGCTGCTAGCGAGAGGCTCTGCAAGGAGGATGAGGAGGAAGAGGAGGAGGAGGAGGAGGGCTGTCCCTGGCTCTACGAGCGGGCGGGGTTCGGGGGCGCGGAGCAGGAGGGAGAGGGAGAGGAGGAGGAGGAGGAGGAGGAGGAGGAGGAGGAGGAGGGGGCTGTCCCTGGCTCTACGAGCAGCGCGGGGTTCGGGGCGGAGGGGAGAGGGAGAGGAGAGAGGAGGAGAGAGTAGGAGGAGGAGAAGGAGGAGGAGGAGGTGGATCGATCGCGAGCACAATGTCTATATAGCATACCCCCAGCACGTGCGGCCTTCTCAGTGAGGGGGTGCGGGCTGCCGTGGCCCCGGCGCGACGCGCTGCGAGCTGGACACCCAGCGCGCGCCGCACCCGCGCCATGCGGAGCCACACGACGAGGAAGGAGGTCACGGAGAGATGCCGCTTTCCCCAGCGGACAAGGAGGGAAAGGCACCCATACCTCCCCTCCTCCTCCTCCTACTCCTCCTCCTCCTCCTCCTCCTCCTCCTCCTCCTCCTGAGGGCGGCCGCGGAGGAGGAGCGCGGGAGGAGGCCTCAGGCGTTAAGAGAATCCTGGCCACGAAGATCAGAGGAGGAAAAGGTACCCATACCTCTACCCTCCGGCCGTTTTCCCATTTTCGGGCCTCCTGGGAGGCCCTCGTCGCCACTGCTGGATTCCCCTAGAAACTCTAGTCAGAACGCGCGCCGGGAGAGGTCTGGGGGGTAGCGCTGCGCGCCCTGTCGGGAGCTTTTTGCGTCACGTGCCCGTCCTAATTTAGCGCTAAGCTCGCACAGGGATATACGTGTTTAGCAAAACCAGTATAGCCCATATGATATGTGCGCGCGCGGTATCGGTACCTTTTGCCCCCAGACAAAGGGAGACCGAATCCCAAGCGCCGAACTGGCGCCCGAGTCGGGGCGGCTACGAAGATCGTCGCGCGAATGCCCGAGGCCCAGTCCGGGGCCCGACCCTGGACAAACAAAACAAAAAAAAGAAAAACGGAGCACTCAAAGAAGAAGCCCGCCGCAGGCACTACTCGCGCATGCACCCCTGCGCAGCAGAGCCTGGCGCCACCCGCGGGCCCGGCCCCCACGACGCCGCGGGCCCCCGCGGACGGGTGAGACAACTCAAACGAAGCATTCGCTGTGAGGAGGAGGAGGAGGAGGAGGAGGAGGAGGAGGAGGAGGGAGGAGGGGAGGAGGAGAGGAGGAGGAGGAGGAGGAGGAGGAGGAGCCGTCCTCGCGCGAAGGGCGCCCCGCGGCGCGCGTTAACCGCGAGGCGCCGCGCGGCCACGGAGCGCGCCTGGCCGCCGCGAGGCGCCCCGTGCGGGGCGCCCGCCTCGCCGCAGCGGCCGCCCCGGCCCGAGGCGCGCGCGCGCGCGGCCCCTCACGCGCGGCGCGCGGCGCGACCCGGGCGCCCCCGGGGCCCGCGGCGTCGTGGGGGCTGCGCTGCTGCACCTCTGCGCGACCCAAGGCCGGCGCCGCCCGTGGGCCCCGCGGCGACGGGCGCCCGCGACGCCGCGGGCCCCCTCCGCGAGAGGGGCCCCTTGGGCCCCCACCCCCAGGCCCCCACGCGTTCGCAGGGCTCCTCCCCCCAGGCCGGGAAGAAGAAGAAGAAGAAGAAGAAGAAGAACAAACAAACAAAAAAAACGATAAACACGACGGCGTTTGCCTGCCCCGAAGCAGCCCACGCGCGCAGGACTTGAAGTGGGCTCGCGTGATCGGAAGCCCCTCACCCCGACTAAGACACATCGTAGATCCGCCACCGTGCCTCGAGGCAGTGGGGAGCCCTCAGGTCCCCAAGAATCCTCAGTCCTCAGTTGCTACACCAAGAACGCTTAACATGCTCGCTCATGGGCCCCCACGCCCCAATTGCCGGGGTGCGTCGCGTGACTGTTGGGGCTCCCCGCTTGTGTTTGCCGAGGCCAAAGGGCCACAAGACTCTCCCTAAGAGGGCCCCGGGACAATCCAGGAGGGTCCCGCGGCGACCCAAAGAGCGCTTCAAGACGCCCAAGATGGACTCAACACGGCCCAGAGACGCCCTAACAGGGCTCCACGAGGGCCCTCCTCCTCCTCCTCCTCCTCATCCTCCTCCTCCTCCTCCGCATCCTCATCCTGCCCCTCCTCCTCCTCCTCCTCCTCCTCCTCCTCCTCCTCCTCCTCCTCCTTTCACACTTTCCCCTCTTTCTCGTCCTCGTCCTCCTCCCCCTCCTCCTCCTCCTCCTCCTCCGCCCCCTCCTCCTCCTCCTTCCTCCGCTGCTCTCCTCCTGCCCCCGTCCATCCCCTCTCCTTCTGTATGACTCCTCCCTGTGTTTTCCTTGATCCCCTGCCTCCCCTGTCCCTAACTGACTCCTCCCTAAATGACTCCTCACCACTTATGATCATCCAGCTTGGAACTTGCAACAGCTTCAAAGATTGTGCAGGGGTGTTTTCAAAATGTGGCTCTCGCCTCGGCGCCGCGGACGCAATTCTTAGAGTCTGCAGCAGCTTCAAGGAGCTCGCCTCAGCGACGCACAGATTCGCCTCAAAAGCTTGCAGCAGCTTCAATCATGGAGGCGGGTCGTTTCCAACATACAGTCGGGACGTTGACCTGAGGAACCCTAAATAAGGAACTAGGCCCCTTTCTCCCATCAGTGAAGATTCGATGTCCCATCGAAAACCTGAGGAAAACCTAGGGCACGCTGTGAAACAATCAAGGAACACGGAGCCCCTCCCCAACGAAAAGGGTTCCTTCTTCAGCGCCCCGACTGTATGGTTCTCGCCTGACCGCCGCGCAGATTCGCAACAACAGTTTGAGACACCTCGTGGGCTGGAGCGCGGCTCCTTCTCGAATTTTGTGGCTCTCGCTCTGGCGCCGCGCACACTCGCCTGTAGAGTTCGCGACAGCTCTTCTAGCAGGGGTGAGGGTCTGCTTCAAAACATGGTTATCGCCGTACCGCAGCGCACATTCTTCGCAAAAGTCTGCAACAGCTTAGAGGATAGAATGGACATCGTTTTCAAAATGCGGTTCTCGCCGACGTGGCGCACGCAGTGCTTTCAATACTTCGCACGCAGTGCTTTCAAGCGGTGCTCTCGCCGCAGCGCCGCACGCATTCGATTCTCAAAGTCTTCGGACAACCGCGAGGATTCAGCCCAGGTCGCGTCCAAAAATGTGTGTTTCGCCTTGGCGCCGTACACATCCGCCTCATTCGTGCAAAATTCAGAAGGGTAGATGATGCTGATGATGCTGATGATGATGATGATGATGCTGATGATGATGCTGATGGTGATGATG